AATCTTGAAGACAAAAAATCACATTCACTCTTGCAATTATTTTCAACAAATAAAAAAAAGGTTAAGAAAAGAATGTGATACCAAATGTGAGGCAGATAAATTGTTGAACTTGTTATCGTGTTGAATCTTCAAATATGATGATATATTAGGTGTGTTTTGGCTACCTTTCACACTACACAGATGCCTCACTAATCTCAAGAAATACAAAGAGAGAGGAAGAGAGAGAATTTTCCAGCTATTAGGAATCTTATTTTTCTGGCCCAAGAACAGTGCCCGAGTCTGCTATTTATAAATGTCAGACCTGACCAAAACGACCCGTTCTAGATTCAGAACGGCCCGTTTTGAATCGTTCTGTTATGAGCTAAATTTGAACCTGGAACGGCCCAATCTAGATTTGAACGTGTCCCATAACGAACTACACTGGAACGACCCATTTTGTCCCGTTCTCAATTAGGGTTTTTTGTCTTTTTAGTAACTTGAAACGGGCCGTTCTGACTTGGGAACGACCCATTCCGATTTTGGAATAGCCCATTCTAAGCTACTAAAATTAACTTGTTTCGACTTCAAGCTCCTTGCTGTTATCATATGGTGTTGCTTTCATACTTTGAGAGCTCCTCCACTTCATAATAGACCTCCATTTCATTGTTTTTGTAGGTCCGGATAAAATTAGTTATTCACACCTTGTCTTACTCGTGCATGACACTCTTCCATACCCCATTAGCACATCGTCGCCAAGGATGCAGATGACGATGATAACAACAAGAATCACGTTAACTACCTCAACGACATTGATGATCTCCTCTTGCTCACCTAGGATGCACTCTTCCAAATCCACCAACGAGTCATCGTTGAGGACGCGCCTGACAATAACGACAGGAATCACTTCAACGACCTTGACAACACCAGCAACCTCATCTCCCTCACGTAGGATGCACTCTTTTGAATCAACCAATGCCTCGTCGTCAAGAATCGTCGTCAAGAACATGCATGACGACAATGATAGAAACTCCGTCAACTTCACCAAATCAATCCCTTCTAAGACATTGTTACCATCGCAACACCGAGATCGATCTAAAGCCAAATCACTTCCTAGAGAAAAAAATGATCACAAAACAAAAGAGGATATTGTAGTTATAAAAAGGGTATTTTAAATAATTTAAAATAAAAACAAAAATAAAAAACTATTGTTCACTTTTATTCATGAGCAGACAATATGATATGGTTGTCCACTGTAGTCAACAATATGCTTTTTCCCTTTTTTCAAAAAAATAAAATAAATCAACGTGTTACATTTACCTAACATTGATGTCCTAATCAATGCTACTCTACTTAGATTTTCCACTCTTTTTTTAATGAATATGGTTACAATATCTTAGAATAAATAATTAAATATTAACTTGTGATCTCCGCATACCAAATCTCAATTAGATCAAGATATTTTGTCACTTTTCTTTTAGTAAAACAAAATAGATTTATCCTACTTCTTCCTAACTAATGCATGAATAGATATCAATCGTTAAAATTTAGTTTTTTTTTAAAATGTTTTTCTCAATCGGTTACTTACATTAAAATATTTTAGATTGAGTTATTGAGCTGAAGCAGACACAATATACCGAATACTTGTTCGTTAAATAGTGATAATTATAGTTTTAAACTTTTAATATTACTCCTTGTAGCATCTATCCAAAAATGCTCCTATCCAGCACGTGATCACCTAGGGCTAGGGCCTATAAGATGCATGGTTAAGTTCAAATTTTGGTACGTAGTAAAGTTAGGCACATGGTGTAAACTCAAAAAGTAGCATGATGTTAACGTGTCTTTTTATTTTGCCACAAAAAATGTTCCATTAATTAGTTCTTTTACCTTCTTCTTCTTAAAAGAATATCGAAAAAATAGGGCTGTGAATCAAACTTTCAATTCACATCGTTATCGTACTAGGTTCAAAAGTTGAGAATGATGATGGACCACTCGTGCTAGGGCATAAAGTGTGTCATCTCTTGTCCCCCATTAAACATTATATGGACCCTTTCTGCGTGCATTATTGGATGCAAATATATACAAAAATAGTGCATTATTGGATGCAAATATATACAAAAATAACTTTGTGCTCAACAGAAATAAAGAAGATCAATCATACTCTTCTGAACTCCTTCATGACCCATATCTTTATAGTAGCAGCTTATATATTGGCCTAGTTATCAAACTTTTGTGGAGATTTCACACACCAAGAATCATGCATGAATCTCATTCAAACTGTGTCATTAACGGTGAGAATCTTATCCGCATAATCATATAAGTAAACTCAGAAAATTAGAATTAAACTCGAAATCTTTTTTATGAAGATTAAATCAAGTATTATCCAATCATGAACATATATTAACTCTTATATATTAAATACGAATAATTATTTTAATTACACAAAAATTTTTTTAAATATTTTCTTTAATGAGAAGATTTATAGTATTCTTCTAACTTTTTATTTAATTTGATTTTTATTTATTTTAATTATTTATTAAATAAATGTTAATATTTTAAAATAAATTTATAATAAATAAATATTTTTTTGCTACAATATAAGTTATTTATTATAAATCTGAAATATAATTTATATATTTAAAAATATTTACTTTTATAAATTTTAAATATAATTTATATATTTAAATACAGTATTTATTTATATATAAATTTTAATTATATATAGCAAACATGTTTGTGCATTGTATAAACTAAAATACTAATAGTAATGATAAGTGTTTAACTTGTGTCATTAGTGTAATTTTTATTTAACAAAAAGTTGAACCATTAATATAGATACTGAACTCTTTGAAATAAAATTCAATATATTTTATCTTTAGTGTATTTTTGTAAAAAAAAAATTAAAGAAGGAAATAATACAATTCGAGCATCTCTTATATATACTAGGAAATATAATTTATTCAAAAAATTGAAATGAATTATTTTAAAGATACAAATGGTTGACATTTAAAAATTTTTCAAAATAAATTATAATTCATTTTTCAAAGTATAATCAACTATATAAGATTTTAAAAGTTAAACATATTAGATGATTATAAATGTTATTGCTTTTATTTTTCTAAAAAAATATTTTTTATCATCAATAGAAAAACTCAAAAAAAATTTCTAAAGACTTTAAACTTAACTCTACTTATCGAACTGTTTATAAGATTAAAAACTACTAATAATGATATTTGAAGGTGAGTTTAGGCTAATTTAATTTAACACTAAAAGAATGAGTTAGTGTGAATGGAGAGTTACGTTCTCCACGTGTATTATATTTTGACCATAGCTTTACATAGGATCTGAATGTGTCCACGTAGTTAAAGCAAGTTGGGGCTAATGAAATAAAACAATGGAGCAACAAAATTTGTAGTTCAATAGTAATGCCTTTTGGGACACACGTTTACATCATTTTCCAATAGGGTCTGTATTCAAAAATCACTATTTTTTTATATGTTTTTTTTAAGTATATATATATATATATATACATTACACTGATAAATATTATATTTATTAAAAAATAGATATTAATAATGTGATTTTCAAATTTATTAAATGAAACTTTACTGGGTAATGTTTAAGTATGGAATCAATTAAGTTAACGTCTTTTAGTGCACTAATTTATTTTGAGATTGAAAAAATTATCAAAACAATTTGTACCAACTATGGTAGAACTTGTTAGTTATCTTAAGTCTTCAATGAATTATAGTGTCATTTTATTTGGGTTGTCCTATTTTTCAACGTAACTAAACGTGAAAGAAAGAAAATGTTAGATTAGTGTTCACCTGGCTTTAAAACGTAAAACTCAATATAAGCCCATTTACAATGGATTGAGCCTTTTTCTTAAGCCCAACTCAAGCCAGAAGTATCTGGCCCAAAACCATGCAGGGAAAGAAGAATGAGTTTTTTTTTTAACTTTTAACCTCGTGAGAATTTTTTATTTTTATTTTTTTTACAATGACAATTCAAAGAGAGTTAAAATAAAGAGAAACAAGGTGATGTATTGGAACGTAAAACAATTTTACACCGTGTCTAATCACAGATATGATGGGTTGTCGATTTTTATAATAAATAAATAAATAAGTTATATTAATGATAATATTTATTTAATTAACTGGGTAAAATTATTTTATATTATGTATCACTGTTAAACTTTATAAATTATTGTCCTTCCCTTTCAATTTAAAAATTGAATCAAATAAAAAATATATAAAAAATTTCTCATTTTTCTCTCCATTCTCCTTCAATTAAATACTATTTGGAGGTGTTTGATACTTCTATGAAAATCTAAAGTTATAAAAGTTAGTTTGATTTTTAATTAAAAAATAATATTTTTAAAGGTATTTTTTACTTATGTTTCTCACAAGTTCTCATGAAATAAATGAGAATTTAATACTTCCAAATTAAATAAAAAAATTTATTTCAATAAAAATGTCATGATACTCCTATTCAATATTGTAAAAATTATCAGCTATTATGTAACATATACAAATTCTAAGAATATTTATAAATAATCAAATATATTTTAAATAATTTTAAATTTTATGATTCTTTATATTTATAATTAGTATTTTAGTTGGCACAATAAAGTATTATATATAATTAAAAGAATATAATAATTATATATATTAATAAATATTATGATTAAATATATAAATTATATTTAAAATTTATTCAAATAAATAGTTTTAAAATATAAATTATATCTTAGATTTATGATAAATAATTTATATTATAGGATAAAATAAATTTTATTTATTAATAATTTATTTTAAAATATCAAAATTTAATTTATAAATAATTATGATAAATAAAAATTAAAAAAATTCTGAAAAATATATCCAAAAACATTTTGGTGCTAAGTAGTTGATGGAGAAGAAAGAACCATGATGATGAAAAATAATCTCTGATCTTAACAAAATTAAAAAGTGTAGAAGAATTTGGAATTATTCACCTATTTCCGGAGTAAAACAATTAACGAGAACAACATATTTATTAAATTTAAAAAAGATTCACCGTCTTTGAGTAGTCAACTTGGGGTTGAAGGAGGTGTTGAGTTGAGAATCGGAGAAGGGAAATGGAAGAACTGAACAAGAATCAGTCTCATTCTCCTTTCACTCAACCAATCCGTTGCATAGTCAAACTCGGTATCACACACACACACTCTCTCTCTCTTTTGTTTTTGCATCTTTAACTCCTTTTCATCATTTGCATCATTTCTTTCCAAAGTTTGTTGCTTTACAATGCTGCTAGCCTCCCCCACATCAAAGTTAGCTTTTTTTCTTGCATATAAGCATCTGGGGTGTCTCTCTTGATTGAGCAAACATACCCATTAGGTTGTTTTCTGTTATGTTAAATTTGGATGAAACCCATTACTCATTAGTGTTTTACATGGAGTGCTGGACTCTGAGGATTTTCCATCAGTGGAAAAAGTGAAGTGATTTTGTTGGGGTGTTCAGGAGGAGCTGCGATCACTTGCAAAAATGAATTGGAGATGGTCAATGAGGAGATTCTTCAGAAGGTTTCGGAACAGCTGAGGCAAGCAATGATTGCATCTTCTGAGAAGCCTCCTGGGATGGATTGGAGCAAGAGACATGGAGGTTCAGAAATTTGTTGTAACCCTGAAGAATTTGGAGATCATTCTGCTACTGAATGTAGCCGTTTCATTGTTGTTCATGGAGCAGGTTCCTTCAGTTCATTTTCTTGTTCTTTTTGCCTTCAGGAATTTTTTTTGTATTAATAATAATAAAAATAAGAATTTAATTTATGGAAAGGTCTTTTACATTGTCATTCAATCATAGATTGTCATAAAAATAATAAGTTTTGTTGACTTTTATATAACTACTTAAACGATGAGATGATTTCTAATTATTTTTTATTTCACATCTCCGTCCTAAGGCTTTGTCTTAGGTTGATTTGGCTCTGTCATGGAGTAAGTAAAGGTTAGGCAATGATTGTTTTCGTCAAGAATCAAACTCGGATATTGTCTAAACAACTCAACCTTAAGTTCAACACATTAACCACTTATGCTCAACTCCTAGGTTAATTTCTGATTGATTAATAGTGAATGGATTTTCACACTGACAATGCATGAAAAAAAAATTAAAAAAATGTTAGAAAATAGATTTTTGAATATTGCAATATCATATATATATAGAAATGAGTACACAACATTACATTGGCCTTCCAATTATTAATGACACCAATGACCAAGTTTGTCCTCCAATGGTAATTAATGTCATTAGATTTGTCCCTCAAGGACCAATTTGATGTCATTTTAAGGATCAATTTGATAGCAAAAATATAACATTAAATATCAGATATATCTTTGGAGAATCAATTTGATGTATTTATAAATGGAAGACCAATTTGATGTTGCATAATGGACAACTACTCTTTCTTTAATGTAAGTCACCTGATAAAGATTTCACCAAGTATCTGCAATCTATTAATTGTTGTAAATTATTTAAATAAAAGCTGATGAAGATATAATATTCTCTGTTGCCTTGGGTGGATGGAATTAACGAATTTTTGTCCTTAATTCTGTGGTGCTCTCAGGTTCTTTTGGGCATTTCCAAGCTAGCAAATCTGGTGTACACAAGGGGCAACTGAATAAACCTCTTGTCAAAGGTGGTTTTGTTGCTACCCGAATTTCTGTAAGTAATTGTTGGCAAAATCTCACTTCAGTTGTAATTGTTAAGGTTGTAAGGACAAGTGCAACATTTCGACTTTATACCAGTCCAGCTGGCACCTGAGAAATAGTTGTTTGTCCATACCAAGTTGATGTTAACAAATTTGGTCCTGAACTTCATGATGAAACTCAAAATCTTCTGTTTCCAAATTCAGTTTATATGCTAATGTTATAGCTCATTCTAGTCTGTTTTGTAACCATAATTCTCAAAGTTTAGTTTGCAAGAAGTAGATATTTTTCCTAACTAAGGAGTTTAATCAAGAATTTTAGTTGAATGTCACAAAAATGATATTTGACTAGTATAATTCAAGAATTAATATTCTATTTCTCACACACCACAATTTATGGAAAAAAAGTTCAGGCTAAAACCAGTGCCATATTTGTATATATTAGAAGAAACTGGCCAAGTGGTATCAGTATCACTAGCATGTTCTGATAATATTAATTATTTTTATTTTCACTTGTATATGTATTGGCTGAAATTTCTATAATCCTTGAACGGTATGCAGAATTTTTTTTTTCTTTCTAAATTATGATAACATTAATGCAAATTACTTTTAGAATGAAGATCTTCTCTGTGCTTATCATTCCGATTATGTTTAATTTCAGGTAACCACTCTCAATCTTGAAATTGTTAGAGCACTAGCCAGAGGTAGTTTTACAATTGTTTCTATCTATATATGTCCAAATATATAGATAGAAATAATTGGGTATTTATCTTTTGTTTCAAGACTTTCTGCTTTTAGTTATCTAAGTAGGTCATAAGTAATTTACTGAATGTTATTATGGTAACATCACGATATACATTTAATCTTTTCAGTCATACCAAGAATTGGCTCACATTATCTCCCCAGTCTTTGGTCATGTTTGGTCTAACTAAGACATCGACCCACAGCTTCATTGTTTTGGGGATGTATAGATAGCAATTCTTAAATTTATACACTCCTTACCTTGGGACTTAATGGAATGTAGAAGCACAAATGTTCTCTCTCTCTCTCTCTAGATGTTAATCCGTGCTTTTACAAAAACCTTAAGGTGAACAGATATTGTGCAAGTAAAAATCGATAGAAATTATGTATGTCTGCAAAACGCTTTGGCTTTTACAATTAATGGAAAACCAATAATCCACCAAAGCTATAGATGTTATCCCTTTTTAGGTTTTATTTGAAATTGAAATGTTGTGTAAGCTATGTGCTACATTAATGTTGATAATTATCCTTCAGCTGAAACTTAATACATGCTGCTATCTGTTTTGCCCCTGTTTTTTAGCATCATATTCTTATTTTTTTGCAAAGTAATGGAATTCATTCTAAAAGATATTTGTTTCTCTGTGCAGAGGGCATCCCTTCAATTGGAATGTCACCTTTTTCATGTGGATGGATCACCAGTGAGAGACATGTTAGTAAACTATCAACTGAATATTTGTCAGATCATATTCATCAACATAATGAATTGTAGACTTGTTTTGTCTACCTTTTATATTGTTACTCTTGTAAGTTCATATTCAACATGTGCAGATATCTTCAGCTGATTTATCTTCGGTGGCTAAGGCAATAGATTCTGGTTTTACACCTGTAAGAGTGAATTCTTAATTTATTTCACTAGTTTGAAGCTTTTAAACATTTTTCTCGCTACATGTGAATGGTCTTTTATTGTTTCTAAATATTTCTTAGAAAAGTCATTTTGGTTGTTGGTAGTACTTAAAATGTTAAAGTAGCTAAAATTTAATGAAAGCCTGGATTAACTTTTTCGTTAATGTTTTGTCTTAAAGGGTGATGCATGTAGAGAAAAATTAGGCTAGAATGTTGGATCTGCCACACTATATGCTATAGTTTCTAGTTGATACATACAAAGCTTGCTAGGTACAGGGTAGTTCCATCTAAATTGATATAGAGTCAGTTTGGATTAACTTCCTCAACAAGCAGTTATAGAAAAATAAAATAAAATGAATCAAGAACTTCTCACATAAATTAAAATGAACTTATGCACCTCAACCTTTTCAAAAGCTTCCTTATCCAAACTTTTTACATGTACCTATGAACTTATAAGAGATCTGTTATAAGTTAGAAATCAAATACTTGTGTCAATTGAAAATTTGAAATGCTCCCATAAGCTACAAACTAATGCAAAATGTGCCATAGGTCCCAACTATATCCTCTTTGCTTGAGCACTATACTATTATATTTGCAATGTCTAAAGCAAATGAATTGTCATATACACTTAATTTTTTTTCCTTTGACCTTTACATTGAAGGTTCCCAATTTTGTAATTGTTTTTCTCTTTCTTTTTCTTCTTTACTTTGAATAATGTGGGGCCCATTGTAATTTGTCTAGGTTCTGCATGGAGATGCAGTGCTTGATGAGATTCAGGTAGAGACTGTATTCAGATTTATTGTTCATTATTCATTCTTAATGGAAATGACATTGTTAAGTAAGTTTGCTTTCAGGAATGCACTATTTTGAGTGGAGATGTTATCATAAGTCATCTGGCAGCGTACTCAAAACCTGAATATGTTGTTTTTCTGGTATCCTTCATACATCATATGCATTTTCTTATTCTTGAATTTCTACAGATATAAAGTACTTTCTGAACATACCAAACCAATTGGTCTTCTAGTTAGTATAGAATATACAGTTAACAGTTCTTATCTTCAAGTGATGAATATTTGTAATACTCCAAATGCCTGAGCTGTTTAGCTAACAATGGTCTTATAATTTCCTCTCGATGCAAGTCCTCGTTTGTGAGAATGACATTTGTGTTGGGTTAAATCTGTAGCAAACATGGACTTCACTGTTAAAGGATTATATTGATAAGCTAGATAGGTAATAGGTTTGCAAAACCAAAATTTTGAATCATCTTGAAACAAAGTACTTGGAACAGCCTATCTTAAATTATAAATATCAAATTATAGAAGAAATTACATGAATGTTTTCCATGAAGCATTGCTCAAAGACAGATGTATATGGGGTATATGATCGCCCTCCAACGGAACCTGATGCAGTACTCTTAAAGGAGATTGGTGAGCATTTGTTGTTTACTTGATCTTCCATATGGTCTACTCTCTTCATGGTTGGATATTACATAGCAACACTTTCAACTGTGACAGCTGTTGCTGAAGATGGAAGCTGGTCAGTTGTAAAACCGAAGTTGCAGAACTCAAGTAAGCAGATTTAGAAAATCATTAATTTTTCTGTGTCTTCTATTATTTGGTCTCATTTTTTGGGGTAGGACATCTTTCTGAAATCATTATTCCCGTAAATGTTCTTAGAAGACTTGTTAGACATTCACAATGGCTTAGGTCTATTTGAACAAACTTCTCTAAAAGAACTTTTAGGAAATATAAATAGGAAAGAAAAATGAAATAAGTTTTTTCATTAACTAAAATTAACTCGTGCATAAGCTAATTTGTAGAAGCTGTCTCACATAATATCTCTAAAAAATTATTTTTAACTTATGCATAAGCTAGTTTTAGCTTATAGAAAAGTTTATTATATTTTTCTTTCTTACTTTTTTCTCTTAGAAGTGCTTTTAGAGAGATTTATCCAAATAGATCCTTAGTTATTCTTTTCTGCCTGTTTCATTTTGGCACTTAATTGATCATTAAATGTATGGATTGCATTTTGTGGCATGTGTTTTGTACAGTTGAACTAACTGTTGCTGCCCATGATACAACTGGTGGGATGAAAACAAAGATATCAGAAGCTGCAATGATAGCAAAACTTGGAATTGATGTCTACATTGTCAAGGTAATGTTTGTTATATTTGATCTGTTTGTCTATTATCTCAGCTCCTGATGCAGCGTTTCAGGCAGCAACAAGCCACTCATTAAGGGCCTTAAATGGAGATCTGAGAAGCAGCATCCCTGACGACTGGCTCGGCACAGTTGTTCGGTCTGCGAGATAAATCTTCCATTAAAATATTTTCCATAGCTCCCAATCATCAACATGAAGTAGTAATCCTTGCCTCTTTGGGCCACTTCATGAATGTGAGTCAGTTGCATTAACAACAATTACAGTCCAGAAGCAACTCGCAATTCTCGTGTTAAATTGCAGTGATGTTCTACATAAAATAAAGATTGATAGCTAAATGCCACATTTTCCGTTTTATCCACCTTGATGTACAATTATAAACATTAGTCTTATCTCATTAAGTGAGGTTGATTACATAGATCACATGATAGCAGTGAGTTCAGTTCATAACCAAATTTTCAGGAATGTACAATTGTTTTGTCAAACATTTTGGCTAGTTCTTTTTGGTTATCTAAGTTATGTTTGGCTACTTAAATAATTTCTTAGTTACTTTCATAAGTTGCAAGCTTGTTTTGTTATTTTACATTGGAGCTACTTTTACTTTGGGTTGGCAGTTTGAAAGTTAGCTGAAAGTGCTTGTAGTATCGAAAGGATTTATGGTAAATAAGCTGCATCGGATTGATTCACGTCTCCAACGTATCATGAACGAGGGACTTGTGAACTTCTCTAGATTTGGTGTGAGCAAACACAACCTAGTTATGTACATTAAACTCACCAAAAATAAAAACATTAAGGTCATGTTTGCACAAATTCTCTATGAATATTTATACGTAAATAAAATAAATTTCTTTCATAAATTAAAATTAACTTACACATTTAACTTTTATGTATGAAATTTTTTTTTTTAATCTAATTTCTCTAAAAGATTCAGTATATAAGTTAATTTTATCTTGGGAGAAAAACCTAATTTACTTTATCTTCTTATTTTAACTTAGTGCTCATTGATCTTACTGGTCATCGAAGAATTTTCCTAAAAGGCCTCTAATAAAATACATCCTTACATTAATATCCTCTGAAATGCGGTTGGGGGATTTTTTTTCCTTCACCGGAGATACGAACTCAACTTTAATAACCATGTCTTACATACTTCATATTTCCTTACATAACAAAGAAAGTTATTTCATTGGATAGAAAACTTCAGTTCTCCATATATTTTCTAATCAAAGAAATAAGACAACCATCCAAAAAAAATATAGAAACGCCTCATAATCATACAAAAATTTCCACACTTCATCAAAGATAAAAACGTAGTAGAAGGAGGTGGTATGGTGGATTGGCTTTTTGTTAGGTTTAACCGAAAAACAAACACTATAAGATGTGGTTGACACTACACAATTTAATCTATGTCTCATCTGTCTATAGTAGGAACTGGTATGGCGTCTTGCCGTATAATTCAAGGGAAAAAAAATAAAAGAAACAATGAGTACAGAACCAGGGTCTCATTTTTCTTTTTTCCCTAAACAAAGTATAAATTTCAGATGCAATTAATAAACATCATAATGAAGAAAATTATACTAGAAAAGTTAAGGGGTTTTGATAAGCCTGTAAATAGAATTATTAGCCTGAGGCCAACATAATTGCACACCATTTAGCAGTTTATGGTTCAAGTATTGATCCAACATAATGAAAATATAGGTCAAGAACTCCCAAATAAAGCCATCCAATTTTGACCACATCTTGTAAGAATGGTACAAATTTTGGCTGATTTAGTTTACAAACCCACATAAAAAGTGAAAAACAAATACTATATCATTCATCTCAGTTCCAACTTCTGCTTTCCAGCATTCAACTGACATTGTACTATTACTTAGGGCCAATGTCCTTAAGGGCACAAATCTGCTCCTCGCCCATGGAAGACATAACAGACACGACCAGATCTTTGCCATCAGCAAATCCATCCTTGATCTGCTTCACACAAATTGAAATCAGTAAAGATGAAGCAAAATATAAAAGTTTAACATTAGATCAACACCTTGCCAGTATCATTACTTAGAACTAGTTTGGATACAAGCTTAAAAGCACTTTTAAGAGTTTCTTTACTAAAAAATACTCTATTTTCAATAGAGAAACTCTCAAAAAGCGCTTCTAATGTATATCCAAACATACTCTTATTATACTTTATTTAACTAGACATAAGTTATCAAAAACATAAGACAAACAATGTCGTCATCAAGTGGTTATACTTAATAAACCATAATGCACAACAATTTCATGCAACTATAATTAACAAGACCACAAGACAAACAACGTCATCATCAAGGGGTCACACTTCATAAGCCATAATTTACAATTTCATGCAACTATTCAATCCAGATCATGTAAAGAAGGTATCGAACAAACTAACCTGCGAAAGCAGATTTTCATCGGTTGGAAGCCTAAGGTCATCCTTAGTACCACCACTATCAGTCAGCAGACTCACCTAATATAATCATTGAAAAATATGCTTAGTTCACTTTTAAGAAAAAAGCCACACTATCCTATCTTTAAGGACAAGGTAACATACATTATTAACCAATTACCAAACTATATTAAACATACCATATCAAGAGAGAATGTGTAAAATGAGATCATGCAGCTAAACTATACATACAGTAAATATTAAACTCGAATCATATATAGTTATTAATTACATATTTTAACTACTAATCAGGCTAATTTTTTATTTTTTTTAACCATGTTGATCCAAAGTATCATGACTAATCTCTCTAGAGAAGCTCACTAACCATTTTTTAGTGAATTCTCTCTTTCAAAACACGTTTTTTTCATATAGAAAATTCGAATCTGAAATCTTGCTTAGACAAACAGAATCAAGTTTTACTTAGACCAATGATTTGTCAATACCTGTTTAATTCATCTTTTTTTTTTTTTCTCCATTTTTTTTTCAGAAAAATTTAATAAACCGATACAAACATGCAATTAAAGAAAACAGTGTAAAAATGCAAATAACCATTTATCCTTCCAAATAACCTTATTTATATATCACATCAAATCACTTTAGGGTAAATGTCACATAGATGTAGCTTAAAATCCCCCTCTAAAAAGAAAGGATTAACATGAGATGTGTAATTGAAATCTCACAAATCCGTCTTCTGAGATATCGATGAGCTGGTAGTCTATACGATTGACATGAGGAACCTGTAGTAACCACGAAACACACACACATCATACCATACCACAAACATAAAGTGACCTAATTAAAAAAAGTAAAACCCAAATCCAAAAGACACTCTCATACATCACAGTTATGGGAAGATGGGACAATATCCTCAAGCTTTTTGCCAGTGAAGATGTCAATTCCAACAAAGTGACACTTTGCGTGTCCATGCTTGCCAGTTTTGGAAGTGGAAACCTCCACAACCTGTCCAACCAACACAAACCCAAAAATCAAAAAACAAAACTTTAACCTAGTTTTTCACAAACAAAACCCCCCAAAAAAAGGGGAAAACCATAAAGAGGGACCCTTTTCACATGAAACTCAATTTTATCAAAAATACCCAAATGGGGTTTGATTGATCACATCAATTGTCGCGATCCAATTAACAAAAACAAACCTTTCAATAAAAATCGCGATCAAAAGTAAAAAAAATTCAAAGGGTCACCATAATTTTTTTTAAAATAAAAAGAGAAAAAGAAAAAAGAAACCTTGCATGGCCTGTTCTTGATGACAATGTAACCGTTCTTGCGGATGGTACCAGCTTGTTGGGGGAATGTCTTTGATGCCCCAGCATCAGCCTTTGACTCGAAGTGGTGTTCCTCGTCCGACATGGTTATGGTTCATCACACGCATCATATGCGTGACCTTCTGGTTTTCCTTTTATAGACTCACTAGAGAAGAACACTGTAACATCTTTTTTTTTTAAATGATAACTATTCAAGTAATTTTTATTTTTTTTACAGATAACTATTGAAGTTTGTGTCAAAATGGATTAGTTTGTTTAAAATAAAAATAAAACGGTAGTTTTCTAAAATATAACCCCGGAATAGTTTCTTAAGAAAATAAAAATTATTTAAAATAAATAATTTAGATAAACATATTAAAAAGAAAATTACTTATTTGATTAAAAATTGTTTCTTAGAAAATTACTTATTTGATTAAAAACTGTTTCTAAGAAAATTACTTATTTGATTAAAAAAAATTATTTATTAGAATCAAAAATCCTATAAACAATAAATAATGTTAATCTGAAAAATAAAATTACACAGTTACTAAATATTTTTTAAAATAGTATTATTTAAATAAAAAACACTCATATTGATCTCACCATCATATATGAGTTTATCATTTTAAATTCAAATAATATGTAGAAAAATTTTAAATTCAAAAATTTGTTGTCGTGATTATAATTTTTATATATATAAAATATTAATAATATTAAATAAGAGAATGAGTGAAAAATAATAATATTTTAAATAAAATTAATAATTATTTTTAAAAGTATTGGTTTATAAAACGTTTAATTTAAAAAATTTATATGCAAAACGTAAAACTTTTGAATAATGTCATTTAATTGCATATATCATAAATTTTTTATTCGATAGAATCATCTTAAAGATTATATTAAATTAAATTTAATTTTTTAATTAAATAAAAAAATTTAAACTATCAAAACATATGCATTAAACTCTTTAAAAATAATAATAATCTATAAATATTAAATAAAATATATTTTTTTATATAACTTAAAGGTGTATTTTATTCCAATATGATCAATTCATATAAAAATAAAAGAATTATTCTTGTCGCAACTCCTTATCTAAGAAACTATAATAATGATATAAAATCTCAGTTTTTATTAAACAACACAAATATCAAAGTAATATAAGATATTAATAAAAAAAATGAAAAAATGTATGTATAATTAATTTAAATATAAAAAAATATAAAATATCAATAAAAATATAAAATGGAAATTATAAAAAAATGATATGCATAATTATTTTGAATTTTTTGTTCTAAAAATGCAGGTGAAACGTGCATGTGCTAAAAATTGAATCATGTCAACTATTAGGAAAATTCGGGAATTAGTTTAGTTCCCTATTTATCATTTTTTTTTCTTTAAATATAAATTTATTATTATTAATGAACATTATTCAACAAAAAAAAAAGAGGTATTATATCTCTCACTATTTAAAAAAAAGTAAGTAATTATTTAAAGATAAGTTTGAAAACTCATCATCTTTCAAGTAGAAAAAAAATAATAAATAAATAAATAAATAATGAAAGAGAAAGTAATTTAAATGTAACTATAAGTAAATAAATCAAAAATTTGTGTATATCAAAATAAAATATCCTTATTAATAGTACTGAAAAAAAAGATATTTTATGCTTTCTGCTTATATATATATATATATATATATATATA